ATTTACTATTCTTCTATTAATTTGTTTTGCTATATGTAATATAGGCATGTACCATTTTGACCTAATGCAAGCCATTATCCTCTCAAAGTTTTCATTTTTTAGGTTTTTAAAATGCTTGGATGAGACAACTAGAATACAGTTGTAGCTGTGATTATTTAAGGATTGCATATTACTGTGAGCCACATTCTGCTTCATCATGATATGTAGCACTGTTTTCTATATAAATACATCTAGTAAACAGTTAGTTTTAGGCCAGGCGTGGTGGCTCATACCTGTAATCCCAGCACTTTGGGAGGCTGAGGTGGGCAGATCACGAGGTCAGGAGTTCGAGACCAGCCTGACCAACATGGTGAAACCCTGTCTCTACTAAAAATACAAAAATTAGCTGGGCGTGGTGGCGGGCACCTGTAATCCCAGCTACTCAGGAGCTGAGGCAGGAGAATAGCTTGAACCTGGGAGGTGGAGGTTGCAGTGAGCCAAGATTGCGCCATTGCACTTCAGCCTGGGTGACAAAGCGAGATTCCGTCTCAAAAACAACAAAAACAGTTAATTTTGCAGTTTTTCTCAATTCGTCTTGGAGCCAGTTTATCTAAAAAAGTTTGAAAGGCCCAGTGATTTATTTTCAGTTTTATTTATAATTTTGGGGCCTAGCAGGTCTGAGGAGGAACAAGTTTGGACAGGTAGGTCATCCACCCCCAAAAGAGTATAACAAATCCTCAAATGCCTACAGTCTAGAGGCAACAGATATATATGCATTGTTTTCTTGGATCTCTCTTTTCAGTTCTCAGCCTGAGAGCCACAGAGCTTAGTACTCTAATAATGTGCAAACAGCCCAAGTATTCTGTTAACATTTTTCTTTATTCAACTAGATCATAAGCTCCTTTAGTATAGGGACTTTGGATCATTTTGTTTCTGCTGCCCTTTTGGTATACTGGCCTCTGCTTCGGAGACATTCCGAATCTTGATATGGTCAGTAAAGGGTACCTTCTAGACTCAAGGACTTGGAAAACAAAGTTTCACTTTGTTCTGTGTCCTCCAGAGAGTTGCTCTGGTGGTCAAGAGCCAGTAATATCTTTGACCTGAGCGCCTCTTAGGCTACAGGGCAAAACCCTTCTCCGGGAGCTTGAGAAGTATAAGTGTCTATCTTGCTACATACAACAACAGTAAAAGAGCTCCCCAAATGCTGACTAGTATTATTGTGTGCCTAGGAATGTTCTAAATTACCTATGTATATTTTAATTTATTAAAAGGACTTTGGATTCACATTACAGATTTGCCATTTACTTGGGCAGGTTACCCAACCTGTCTGTGCCTTTTTCTTCTTCTGTAAAACAGTCCTCATAAGATTGTTTTGAATGAAGTATTACCACAGCACCGACCTTTTATTCAAACTTGACATGTAGTAATAAGTCAGTATTGACATGGTACTTGAGTGGATAGTAAGAATTAGTGCTCTAATTTTTCAGATGTGAAAAACCTGAGGCTTAGAGAGAATACTTGGAGTACAGCATACTTGGGCTATTTGCACACTTTATTTGTTCTTTGAGCAGATACGTGCTGTCTGACGCTGGAGTGCTAGAGTTTGCCCTCATTAACATCACTAACGAGGGGCAGAGCCTGGATTTGAACAGAACCTAAGTCCATGTCAGTGCTGTGCTCCTAACTACCGCTCTGCTACTGCCTGCACAAAAATTTGGTATTCATGTGCTGATTAGCATCTGATGCCTCCTTTGGGAAAACTAGCAAGTTAAAATAGCTCCAACTTCATTGCAGGGAATCATGCACCCAAGATGGCCATTTATCTACTGTAGTCTATACCATGATACCAGTGTACAGTAAATATACAATAAGTCTAAATCATTTTACATATGTAACTACCCACAAAAAGAGGTAACAGCAAATAGAGCATAGTTGACTGTAGGCAGTGTTTCAAGGTCAGAGCTCTGCTCCCTACTGGTATGCTCGTTAAGCCTCAGCTTGCTCAGCTGTTTAAGTGGATAATAGTAATTTACACCTTAAGGTCGTCTGAGTTTAAAAAAAAAAAGCATGATAAGGCCGGGTGCGGTGGCTCACGCCTGTAATCCCAGTACTTTGGGAGGCCGAGGTGGGCAGATCACGAGGTTAAGAGATTGAGACCATCCTGGCCAACATAGTGAAACCCCGGCTCTACTAAAAATACAAAAATTAGCTGAACGTGGTGGCGGGTGCCTATAATCCCAGCTACGTGGGAGGCTGAGGCAGGAGAATCACTTGAACCCAGGAGGCGAAGGTTGCAGTGAGCCGAGATCGCGCCACTGCACTCCAGCCTGGGCAACAGAGTGAGACTCCGTCTCAAAAAAAAAAAAAAAAAAAAAACAGCCTGATAAAATATGCAGTAATCTTGTCACATATAAAGCTATCAGTGTATGCTAATTATTACTGTGTTAGTATTAAGGATAGAAGGACAGTTTGTGCCATACGGATCCTATCTAATACATTAGAAAAGGTCATTTAAGGTGTTTTGCTCTTCTTTTAAAATGATGGAAATCATTAGAAATTACTGCTTAAGAGAAACCATAGAATCATTGATATGAATAAGTTAATGCCATGACTTATACTAAATGGAACTTAATCAGTGCTCTCCCTTAAGTGTATTTTAGTGTAATTTTTTAATATTTGGCCAATAAGAATATTAATGAAACAAAATATGTTAATTAGGTATAGGATAGAGAACAAATATTCTAATCTGCCTATGTTTGCCATATAAGGAGGTGGAGGGTTTAATAATCTTTGTAAGGTCAGATAGAGCCTGTCTTTCACCATTGGCCTGAAGCAGAAGGTCTGAGAGGTGGGTGCCTCTCATCTAGTTTTTAACAACAGGGTCACATCACGTTTACTTCTGCTCTTGCCGCCCTCCTGTAGATAGTTACAAGTATAAAAACTGCAGCTGGCCTTTGTATTAATACTTGTATTAATGTAAAACTTTCAGCCAGGTAGGAAGAGCAAATAGTACATTCATCTTAATCTTGCAGAGGAAGGATCTGAGACCTAGAGAAGTCGAGATTTGATTAACATCATGTAGCTGGCTAGGGGCAGAATTGGGAAGGACCTAATTTGTGGCTCTACCCCGTTTCCTCTCAAGCATTCCTGTGTGCTTGGTCCAAGCCTTAGGTTCTTTCATTACCAACCCCAGCATCTCAGCGTATCGCCTGGATCGTGGGAATCTAGAGATGCAAGGGGCCTCTGATGACCATCTGATCTAATCCCTTCATTTTACCTGTGAGGAAGGGAAGTGAGCTCCTGGGGAATTCAGAGACTTGCCTAAGTCACACTGATAATATTTTTTACAATCAGCCCTTAAACCCCGGTCATTTTGCTATGAGTCCTGGGCTTTCTACTTTAAACCCAAACTACTGCCTCATGCCTGCATAGAGAACATCTACCCTGGAGACTGGGGGATGCTTCTAGGGAGGTGACTTTACCTAGATCTCACCTCACTTCTGTCCTGTCTTCACAACCTTACCCTTTATTGGGCTTTGAGGGATTTTAATGGGTTTTTCTGACCTTTCTTATTTCAGGAGCATACAAAGAACTAATGACCATTGTGGTCTCATCTATCTTAACTTTCTGTAGCATTTTCTCAGAGTAAAGAGCTAAGCATGAAATTTTTTTTGTTGTTGTTGTTCTTAAAGAGAGTCAAATGCCAAGATATTAAGGAAGAAAAGCAGGCAGACGCTGAAGAGCACAAACAGCACAACTCTAAATGAGAACATTCCTTTTAACTTAGTCTTCCTTTTCCCACCCACATCTCTAAATGCAGTAAATCCTCTTAGCATGTTATCTCTGGTTAGGGCATTTTCTCAGTGTCTTCATGAAATAAAGATTTTCCGGCGGGATACTTTCTTTTTGTAGGCTATATCCTTAAATAGGAAATTCAGCCATCCATCTGCTCTTCTAGGCCCTTGTCCTTAACCCACGTATACCTGCAACATTTTTCAAGTAGATGTCAGAAACAAGAGTCTGAGGATGAGATGTTGCTGAAGGATTAAGAAAATACGCCTCTTTGATCCCTAACTTCGTGGAGACAGTTAATCTCAATTGGCAGAAATAATAAATATCAACAGGGTGTCTGGCTTTTTCCCCCCAGTATAAAGTAATATGGAACCAGATTTATTGCTATTCATATTGCTAGTAAATTGGAGAACAATTATGAAAGAAATCTCTTGTTTAAAATGTTAATATACCTAACATGAAAGCAGATTTAACTTGAGAATGTGATATAAAATTCTATAGCAGATAAATCTTAAAATAAGAAATCAAAAAGTCACTCTACTTTAGGCTCATCTACCTTTTAAAAGTCCTTATTGAAATTTAAAAGAAGTGAGATCTCCATGCTTGCTTCTTGTTTCCCTCACTGCAGTGAAAACTTCCCTAACAGTTTGAATGTGGAACAAAAGTAGGCTGTTTCTAACCTGTTTGTCAGTCACTGGGCAGTTTTCTCAGTGCCTTTCCTGACGTGTTTTAACACGATTTCTCCAGGGATCAAAATGAGGATTACCCTGTTCTTTGTGGTACAATGAAAAGACTGAGATTCTTTTATCAAAATGAGACAATTGGGAAAGAGAAAAATCTTTTTTTATCTCTCTTTAAAAATAACCAGATAAACGATTATGAAACAAATTTTAAGTTTTGGGTCCTGGGAAGCAATTATAAGACACTTTGGCTTTTCCTCATCTAATAAAGTAAATGCAGTTAAAAAAAAATGTACTGAATAGGAGCGATTGCCAAAACATTGTTTCTACTTTTGAAGGCACAATATGTAGTTTATATTTCTGCCTGCCTGAGCTGGAAACAGTTGAAGCTTCATGGCTCACAGTGGTGCCTCATATCTTATTGTCAGCATTCTAATTTCTACTTTTTCTTCAGACCTCAGAGTCAAGCAGAAGTATAATTACAGTTTTTAATCATTGCTGTGTCTTATAAACCACGGCTTTTAAGAAAATGAAAAATTTTTTGTTTACCTTTCATTGTGGTGGCTGGCTGTCCATTCACCTCATACGGTGTCTTCAAGTTGAAACAGGCTTCTTGTCTCTAATTAGGAATAAGCTTTGAAACTAAGGTCAGCAGGGAAGTGGATTTTCTGGTAAAGCATAAAAACTAAACATCTCCCCTACCAGACAAGGTAGGTATCTCCCCTACCCCTTTAGAGATTGTCCTTTGGGGCACCCTTTCAAATTCTCCTGCCCGGCAACTACTGGAACAACTTGCTCTCTTGCTAATGTAAATGACTCATAACTAAGAGTAGGTGAGATTTGTCGACTGGGGAAGAGTATTTCCTGAACCTACAGGAATCAGATGGTGATTCACCTGAAGGAAACACAGAGGGCTGGAGCTTAGACTGCCAGAAGTCTGCTTAAGGAGTGGGGGATGAAGTCTCAGGTTGGGGCCTACTAACTTCATCAGATCCAATTTTTAGGTCTTTTTTTTTTTTTTTTTTTTTTCCAGCTTCCTATTGCTATCTAGAAAACATGTATTTGCAGTCTTCCTACCAATTACATTTTGGATTAAAAGGAATAAGAATATGCTTTATGACAGAGGAATTCTTTGAAAATATTATTCTACATATTATTAAAATGTGTTTATTGTTGTAATTGATAACTTTGGAAACCTGTAGTCTTATTCATGAAACTAATGAAATCTATAGACATATTTTTACACATACACAATGATAAATATTCAAAATATGTTAAATTATTCAGGGGCTGGATTCACTGACTCCTTTGAATGCTGACCTTTAACATAAAACAATTTATTTTATTCCTTTAAAAAAGTATCCAACAATGATATAGTTATATAATCATAGCGCCCCCCCCACCTTTTTTTTTGAGACAGAGTCTCACACTGTTACCCAGGCTGGTATGCAGTAGCATGGTCTCAGCTTGCTGCAACTTCCTCCTCCCGGGTTCAAGTGAGTCTCCTGTCTCAGCCTCCCGAGTAGCTACGATTACAGGTTTCCGCCACCACGCCTGGCTAATTGTTTGTATTTTTAGTAGAGACAGGGTTTCACTATGTTGGACAGGCTGGTCTCGAACTCCTGACCTCATGATCCGACCGCCTCGGCCACCCAAAGTGCTGAGATTACAGGTGAGAGCCACCATGTCCAGCCACTTTTTCTGATTTGTAAATAATTTTTGTGCTTTCAGATGAGAATCTCAAAGATTCTGGTATTTTCTTGAATGCAACATTTAAATAAATTTAAAAATATGTTCATCAAATGGAATCAAAACCTGTTATCGTGGATGAAGATTAATGAAAATAATCAAAAACGAAAACTTTTTTCAAGTTAGTAAATCTGTAATAGGTATTGCTTAGTGTTTACTTAATGTCTTCTTAAGGAAATAATGTGTACGAACTAGTTGATTTTCTTTATGTTTTTACAGAAAAACAAATGGGTGTTTAACTTAAAAATCAAGAATTGGGTGTCAAAATTATATTTTTTGTGTTTTCCTGTTTCCTAACTATACAAAAACAGACACCTACAATTTTATTATTTTTTTCCATTCTGCTTTGCGTGGGTTAAGTGTGTTATGAAAAAGTAGCTCGTCCTAGGGAAGGTGTTTGAATAACAATTAGCCAACTTAATAATGGCCCAATCTTATAAGAATTTGAAGATTTACAAACAATCCTTCATTTAGTTTTGACTCTCCCTGTGCTATTTTGTACTTCCCCATTGATTTCACTTTTAGCATTTGAAGCCAGTTTCTTTTCTTTTTTTTTCTTTTGTTTATTATTATTATTATATTTTGAAGCCAGTTTGTTGTATTTTGAGTAGAAGAGTTACGCTATGCAGACTTCAGTTTGGGAGACTTATTCTTATGTTGACCTTTTTGCCATTTTTCATGATGATTCATAAATAATAAATGAGGTACTGCTCATAATTTGACATTTTACTGCCAGAACAACTGTCAAGTACTAAAGGCATCAGTCAAAGGGAGAAGCATCTCTTGTGGCCCCCATAAAAGTATGTTGAGCAAAGAACTTTGCTGCAAGTACTGAGGATTATCACCCCAAATTTCCAGTGATGTGTGTAAAATCTTAGTAGGGAGCTTATTCTGACAGATATTTGACAGGCTTCTGTTATAAGAATAAAGACATTTTTAAAAAAGGGAGGGGCCTACTGTGAAAGGGTTATCATAGGTTCTTCTAAGTGTGAAGAAGGGCTTGTGAGGGGCCTGTGAAATTTTCCTGTATAATGAGGCATCTTTAACTTTATGTGTGATGATGTTAAGTAGGAAATAAGGTGATGTCCCTTCACTACAGTAGGTGGCCCCCTTTTTCTCCTGAGGTGGGCTTGGGATATAATGCACTTTTTCCTTTCCCAATACCTCTATAAGCAACATGCCCGGAACAGTAGCATAACAGCTGGCTTGGTGTGTTTCAGTGTTTCGTTCGCTGGCAGTGCAAATTTAGTATAGTAACAAAAAAGTTAATGTGAGGCAGCCTTTATGCATTAGTCTTAAGCTATATTATGCCAGTCTCAAGTTGGAACTTGTGAAAGCTGGTCTTACCTAACATTCCAAAAGGGAAGTAATGCATGTTTAGTCATGAAAAAAGTGTAACACTTTGATGCGAGGAGCAGCTAACAGCCAACCCATAACTTTATTATTGTTCACATAATCGAAAGGTAAACCTGCATAATTTTTTTCCTGCTGGTTTTTATAGCAAATCTCACATTTCATAAAAGCCCCGGGAATCTTTGTAGCAATAATTTCGTTTCCATTTCATTGGAAAATCCTGTTAAGTGCAGGGCACTCTTTTATTAATTTTGTTTAGCCTTTACAAATCCCAAATTTATTTTAAATATGGAACATCCTGGGGTGTGTGTGTGTGTGTGTGTGTGTGTGTGTGTGTGTGTGCGCGCGCCTTGGCCACCAGAAAACTAAAAACTTCTGTTTGTTTTGTTTTTATACTAGGGTGACTTTTTTCCTTCTAACATTATTTTTAAAGATATTTAGACTACGAACAAATTGAAAGAATTGTTTAACTAGATTTCATCTAGATTTATAAATTATTACTGTTTTTCACATATACTCTTCCCCACCCCAACATATTTACTGACAACAGTAAAATGTCAAATTACGAGCAGTACCTCATTTATTATTTACGAATCATCATGAAAAATGGCAGAGTCTGCATAGCATAACTCTTCTACTCAAAATACAACAAACTGGCTTCAATTCAAATGAGGATTCCTGTAATTTTATTGATTTTTTTCAAAGTATATTCTTAAAGAGACAGGGGTGCTCAAGGAGAAAAAGTGTCACGTCTTCTGGAATTAAAATTAGGTAAGATTACTTGTAAGCGTTTCTCAGTCCTGAAATGAACTCTTTATTCTGAATCCTCACTTTCTTGGTATGAGACATTGAGCAAATGTATTACCAAGGCTAACCTAGGTCTTCTAGTGGTTTCTCCATGGCATATGACTTTTTCCTCCCTTCTTTCTTTGGCTTTTCAGCATTGGTGTGGACCTGGGGACAGTGTTTCCTCCTGGTGTTGGTAGGCATAGTATTTGTGTTATAATCTCATTTTTCTGTATCACTAATCTCAGATGTATCTGTTCCTTCTTCAAGGAAAATGCACATATAAAGGGCGTCATAGTCCTTTATAGTAACACTAACTCATTATTACAAAACAAAGACAAGCAGGGATCTAATTGCAACATAGCTCAAGGTGATCTCTCTTGAATGCCCATGTTGGTCTTTTCCATGTGGTGGAACACACAACAAGGATTATAGTAAAACCTTTGCCCAAATCTTACTATTCCATCTCTGTACACAAGTCATTCTAATTGTGGCTCACATCCAGTAACTGAGAATTTGTGCTGAGTATAATTATCAGAAACCCTTTAATAGTCAGTCCTTTGACAAGATTAGTATCATTGGGTCCCTATGCTTGAATTACTGTGTTTAATCCGTCATTTGAAATTATTTGTATCTATCAGGTCTGCTTTATGCAAAACACCTTTTTCTGGTATGAGAACTTCATTTGATTAAAGGGAAGAGGGTGGTTTGGAGATTGAGTCTGGAGATAAGGCTGCATCTCTGACTGTTGTCCTTTTACTGATACTCCTTTCTATATTAGGCAACTTAATCTATCTCATTGCTTTGTAAATCTTGCTTGTGCGAGAGGCAGTGTCCGGCTGTGACAAGACTAGTGATTGGGGTCAGGTAAACTCCAATTTGGAGCATCTCCACTTAGTAGCATTTTTTGCTTTGGGCAAGGCATATCTTCTGAAAATGAGAATGGGAATGCCTGACATGTAGGGTTGTAAAGCTTAAATGAGGTAATCTATTCAGGGTAAATATATACAGGGTAGTTCCACAGTGTTTGGAACTTGGTTGGCATTTAAGGAAACAGGAGCAGTTTGTCTTTTGTCAGGAGGTGAAGGGAGAGCAAGTGAATGAAGGGGGTGTCTGATGCATGGTAGAGTAGGAATGATATGCCTCAACTCAGAAGTTAAGGTACATCCATAATTTTGGTTGCTTTTAGAAAGCTCCTGGTTTCCTATTAGTGACAAACTGATGATTGCTTGAAATACTTTTTATAATCTTTTTTGACAGTTTTTTTTCTCCTGTAAAGGAGGAAGTTTGGACTTCTTTATTCCAGACTGTCTAAAATTGTGGGAATCTGTAAAAGCTGAGGTTAGAATATATGGGGAGAGAAGGGAGGTCATCTCAGTAGGGTTACTGTGTTCAGGTTAAAGTTTCATTCACTTATAGTTTGGGCATTTTTGGACTGAGGAAACTCAGTTGTGCAGTTAAATAGAATAAAAAAACAAAGATTTAAAGACCAGTGACATTATATGTATATATGATATAAAGTCAATACATAAAGCTAATATTAAAAAAAACTCAAAGCTATAAAACCCTTCAGAAATACATTAGATACAATTACTTAAGATCGACACCAGTAAGTCATATACAAACATTTAACGTTTAAACTGAAGTTTAAAAATAAAGGTGGACATTCTATTATTATGCCTCAGCATGTTATATTTGTCAGTTTGAGTTGTATTACAAGAGTGGCAAAAGTTCACATGCTCAGCAAGTTATGTAATTTTTAAAGAACTGGTTTACTTCTTTAAGTCTTAAATTTAGTTTCCTTTCTCTTTCATATTATCTTGCCTTTTTCTTTCCCTTTTATCATTCCCCACAACTGTCTCAACTTCCATTCCTACCATTTTCTCTTAGTGTCCCCATCTCTTCTCCCCGTGCGATCCTTCCCATCTTATTTTTTTCTATAAGGACTTCATATTAGAATGAGAACAGAGGCGAGGAAGCAGAAACCCAGGTTACATGGATACTGAAAATAGTGGTACACTCAATTTCTGGCCAAGGCTGGGTTCTCTTGCCTGTGTAGTTACACCCAACTATTTGATT